GCCGCGTGGCGGCAGTCGATATAGATGCGCATGAACTGGCCGTCGTACGTGCACACGATCGAGTGCCACTCGCGCAGCGGGATCACGTCCGTCGTCGTGACGATCCACGGCGCCACCTCGCGCTGAAAGATGACGTGCCGCTGCGCGTCGAGCCCTATCCGGTACTCTCCGCTCACGCAGCCGTTGAACTTGGAGAGGAGCACCTGGTGGCCGTGCCACTGCGCAGGCCCCTGCTGGTGGCCCGGCGGCTCGATTGGCTCCGAGTTTGGCTCGCAGTAGAAGTGGATCTCTGCGGCAAAGGCTGCAGACTCGCCAAACGAGAGGCCGGCCTCCGAGCCCTCGAGGAAGACGTGCTTGGACTGGTCGAAGTGGCAGAGCTCCAGGGCCTTCTTGTTGCTCGCCTGGATCATGCGCGCAGAGGCCTGCGACAGGACCCTACTCGAGTCCTCACCTGCACGGGGCGCGATGTTCGGCAATCCGTTTGATGCAGGTGGAGCGGTTGCGTGAGTGAAGCGTGCGGAGGTAACACACGCGGCAGGAGGTGCTGAGGGGATGATGGATTTGCTGGGCGGCGAGATGGCTCGGACGGGAGGCGGCGGCACGGGGAGCGGCGGCACGGCGCTTCCACAGGCACGCCCCGGCGCTCGGGGCGCGTCGGGACGGGAGGGAAGCGCGCGCGGGGGAGGCGAGCACGGGCGAGGGGACCGGGGCCCCATTAGAGGGGATTAAGGATGTGAGCGGGTGGAGAGCACACCTCGGCGCTCTTCGCTCGAGCGGCGGCCAGGCGTGCAAGAGAGCTGCAACAAGAATTCTCCGAATTATGTTCCTTTTTTTGAGCTAGACTCCCAGGCGCATCACACACCTCTCCTTAAAATCCCTGTGTGGTGGCGGCGTGCCGTCCTCCCATCCCTCCCTTGGTTTGTCCGTTTTCTTTCTTGAGCTAGACTTCGATGTTAATAGAAACAAGCGAAGGCATGTGAGGCTAATGACTGCACTCCAAGTGCTCCAAGGGCACACACAACATGACGCCAAACACACGATTGCACGCACCGCGCCGCACCCAGCACCCGCGCCCGCCGCCCCCCGGCCCCCGCCCCGCCCAGGTGTCCTCCTCATGGCAAACCGTCCGTTTTACGACCTGTCTGTACCAAGTGGCGAAGCTGTTGCGGCCGTGCTCGACCGTCGACGACACGCTGGCGCTTGTCCGCCACATGCTCGACGAGGACGAGAAGAAGTCTGCCCTTCTTGCCGCCACCGAGGGTACCTCAGGCGGGATGGGCGTCGCGCTACCGACCGCCCCGTCCAAGGACCCACGCAAGTCGGACGAGGTCGACAGCCGCGTTGCTGGCGGAGCCCGGAGTGGCCCCAAGTCCACCCCTCTCGTGTGGAAGGACGGCATGGAGAAGTGCTTCTGCGGCGGGGGCCATCTCTTCGCCAATTGCAAGAAGAATTTTACAACCCACGCCGGTCGCACAACACGATTCCCATCCCTCCCTCGGGGGCAACTCGGGTTGTCTGTTTTCTTTCTTTCTTTTTACACGATTCACGCGACAGGCAAGGCAAGGGCGACGGTTCCTCAGAAAGGGG